TCCTCTCGGCGCGCCGCCTCCGCAGCCGGGGCTCCGGCGGGACTCCGGCTCCGAGCCCCACTCCCGCGGGCGGCGCGTAGGGCGGCGATCGACCCGTGCCCTCCCGCGACCCGGCGGCTTCAGCCCGGGTCGCACGGCCGCCGAGCCGCCTCCGGCGGGGCCCTCCCGAGGCCCCGGAGCGGGGACCATGAAAGGTAAGCCCGCCCGCGCGCGGGAGTTCCGAGGCGAGCCCCTGCGGGACCCCTCACCCTGCCCGGGCGCGGTGGGCACCTCTCTCTGCGGGCGGGCGAGGACCGGAAGACTCACCCGGTAAGAAGTGCGTGCGCTTCTCTTTCGTATCCTCCGGAGAAAGGTATTGGGAAGACAGAATGGAGCCCTGAAGTCCAGAGGCAAGGGAGAGGAGAGGGAGGATGCAGATGTGCTCAGCGTCCATCGCTCTTTCCCGAAAAGCCGTTGTAAATCCAGAGAAGTATCTGATCCCTTTAACCTGTCAGCACAGAACGATGTTACCAGCCCAACCTTCTACCAGCATCACCGCATCCGGAGGCCCCATCTCAGAGGCTGCTGCGGCCCTCACCTAGCCTTTTGCCCAGCGCCAGGTCCAGGACTCTCCTCTGGGAACTTCCACCCTTTCCCCAGGAGAGACCTACCGTGTCTGGGTTTCTCAGCCCAGGCGCAGCCCTTCCTGACCTCTGAACCCTGGCTGACCGTCCTCTGACCTCCTGGGCGCAGAGCAATAGGGGGAGAGCAGTGGTGCAGGCCTGAGCTCTCCCCAGGCCAGTGGGCATCACCACAGTGGTCCTTGCAGCCAGTTCTTGGGATGGAAACAAGAACCAAACTTGGTCCCTGATGCTCAGCCCTGGGCCTGGTTTACTCGAGGCCCGGGAGAGTGCACCCCTGGTCTTCACGGTCACTCTCAGGCTAAGGGAGAAGCAGGCTTTGGAGTCATACTGTGGGACAGGGAACATCGGGGTTTTGATGCTCCCTCACCTGCTTTACGATAATCCTTCAGATAGCTTAACTGAATGTTGCAACGGTAAAGGACTTCCGGGGTCATCCGCAGGGCTTCCGCTGTGCCGTCAGGCGGCGTTGGCGTTGGCGAAGCCACTTCATTTGCATAGAAGGGTTTGAGGGTTCCTGTGAAGAAAAGGCTCCACGGGTAAACCTCTGATGGATCACAGCCTCCATGTTGTATAGTTGCGGAAACTGAGGCCCAAGCAGGTAGGACCAGCGTCATGGGTGTGTCACCTGTGCAGTCCCCCAGGGGCCCAGGGCGCCACATGAGGTTCAGTGCTCTGCTGTCGCTGTCTGGAAATTATTAATAATTTTTTAACAAGGGAGCCCAGCAGTTTATTTTGCACTGGGCCCCGCAAATTACGTTGCTGAGACTGTGGATGAGAGAAGGGACTTGCTTGAGATTCACAGCTCGTCCGGGGGACCTGCCCAGGGCTCCTGACTTCCAGGCCAGTGTGCTTGCTAATGCATACATGCCTCTTCCTTCCCTCCGGCCTCTGGTCCCTCTGTCTGTGCTTCCCGGTGGCCTCACCACGTCTTGATCTATCTGGGACGAAGCAAGCAAGTTATCATCAGCCCCAGGGAGTTCCCTTAGCAGCAGAGAGGAGCCTCACTCACCAGGTTCCTGCTCTCAGCTACCACGTCTGTGCAGTGTCCTGTGCCCAGGCAGCGGTCCCGGGGCAGGTCATTACCAGAAGCCTCTGAAAGGTCTGAGGCCACATCTCACCACAGGCTTGGGGCCCACGCTGCTCTGGACCTTGATGGTGACGGTAAGAGGCTGCACATTCTCAGAGTGGTTTGGCTCCGCCAACATTCCAGAAGAGCTCTTTGGGGGAAAACAGACCGGGGAAAAGCCAGGCAGGGCCGAAGTCCCCTGAAACGGAGGAGACACCCAGCTCCCGGGAAGGGAGTCAGGAACACACGGCCCGCCTTTCTGAAACTCAGTGAGGCAAAGCGACTCCTCTAAGCGGCGGAGGAAGGAGCTGGTGTGAACAGGTATTGAGAGGAGGTCTGTGAGGAGGACCGGCTGAAGCAGGTCATCAGGTCCCAGCGTCTTCCTGGCCTGCTGACTGGGAGGCTATGGGCTCTGAGCAAGAAACCCATGTTCTGCCCCTCTCACTCCTTTTCCCTCACACAGCAGCCTCACCGCCACCTGGGGCCGAATTCCTGTCCGCTGACGCCTTCAGGGCAGCTCTTGTGTGTTTTTCCCCCACTTTTGGGAAACCTTCTAGGATCTTCCATAACCTCCCAGGGCCCGGGCCGCAGAGCTGCGGGGAAGGCGGGGTTGATTCCCAGCCCACCTCCCTGCAAGGTCTCCTCTCATCCTCCCCGGGGGCCAGGAAGAGCCACCCCCTCTACCTGAGATGGAAAAGCCAGGGCAGGCAGTCAGTATTTGGCCTTGGGGGCATCTGTGGAGTGTGAAGAATCAGGATTTTTTTTACCCACGTGGAAAAAAATAAAGTGCCCAGAAGAGCGGGCTGCGCCTTCCAGGATGGCCCTTCCCCAGGGGAAGCTGGCTTCAGACTGTCCTCCGAGGGCCGCACCAATCTGAGAAGTATATCTGCTGGCAAAGATTCACTATCCCCACTCAAAGCAAAACACGGTGGTGTTATGTTTTGTGGAGGTTGGCGGGGACGATACTTAAACAAGAAAACAGGTCTGCTAAGGCGCGCTGCCACCAGTGGCCAGGCGCCAGGGCCCGCTCTGCCAGCCAAGCTGTTTCCACCCTGAGGCAACTCCTGCCCACCTGCCCACTGGCTGGCAGCCGGGCCTCCCAGGCAGCCGCATCTTTTGATGCAAGCAGGGCCCAGCTCCGGGTCCAGCCCCTCTCACACCTGAGGGGCACGCAGCTGCCACCATCCCATGGTGATGGGCCCACCTTGGAGCTGCCCACTGGTTTGTCTGAGCCATTAACAGCCACCTGTGGAATTGTTCCCACATCTCCAATGAGAGGGTCCTGTCATGAGATCCCTCCCAGACATGTGAGTCACCCCTCCAGAAGTGGCCTGGTTCCCTGCAAAGACGACTGATTTGAGAGTCAAGGACAGAGGCTCCAGTCCTGGCCCCACATGAGGCTCTGGTCAGTGTTTCCCTCTCTGGGCCTCGTTCCCCTGCTGGGTGGTCCCTGAGAACCATCTTGCTCTGATGCACTGTGACTCAGCCCAGGAGCTCTGGGCCTGAGAGCCACGTAGGGAGCGGAAGTGACTTGGTAAAGAGATGCTTGGAAGTGGGCCTACCTCATGGACCACTATGTCCCTGGGAGACTTGGCCTCAGCTGCCATGGACGGGCAGAGCCACACCCTGCTGTTCCCCAAACCTGGGGGAAATGACCCCTCCCCACGGAATCGGGGAGCAGTGCCCACAGTCCACAGGCAAAGGGCAGGCAGGAGAGCAGGGGGTCTCAGAAAATAGCAGAAAATCTACCTCTTGTAACTTGGCAGGGGGGATATATCCACTCATGAATGTGCAGACTCCTTCCCTTTTGGAAGCCTGACCTCCATCCCCAGACCTTGGGACACTGGAGGGAGCCTGCGACTAGAAGGGGCTGACACGGCAAAGGCGCATAGAGCCAATAAGCGGCCCGATGCGGGCAAGGGGTGCCCTGGGGCTCAGATGTTGGAGATCAGCTCCAAACAGACACACACACACACACACACACACACACACACACACACACACACGTGTGCACACACACAAGCTGGTCACCTTGCCATCCAGCTGGGGTGATTTTAATAACTGAAGACTCCACCCCAAAGCTAATTTGGGAACAAGGACAAAGAATTCTACTTCTCAGTAGATGTTGGTGGACAGCTTGGCAGTTTTCGTGAAGGACAGGCAGCTGTGCTGGGTGTTCCAAGTACAGAGTTGGCAAGTACAGCAGCATGATGGACCATGTCACTCATATATTCACTGTCTGTGTTTTGATCATGTTGAATTTAGTGTGTGTGTGTGTGTGTGTGTGTGTGTGTGTGTGTTGTGAGCACTGAGCCCAAGGTTGAGCCTAGCCCTGTCACACACCAGCTTTGTCACTTGGTAACTACGATGAAGTCATTGGTGCTCCTTGACCCTCAGTCTCATCTGCAAGTAGACTGTATGTTCTTTGAAGTTCTTTCCAGCTCTGACATTCTCCTCTAATGTTTTTCCTTTTGTGAGGGTATGTATTTTTCTTTTTTTTTTTTTTTTTTTTTT